TTTTTTTTTTTTTTTTTTTTTTTCATGTGGGGGGCTGACCCTGATAATCCTATCCATTTCTCCCACTTCCTTTTTCCTACTTTTGTCTTACCATTACAGCTCTCCTACAGTACTTGTCCAACATACATTTCCTTTCTGAGGCACTCTACTGATCGCTTGATAGGTTTTTGGGGATACACATTACCTCATTACTTCTCATTGGTAATATTGACCTTTTCGGCCCTATCCTTTCACACGTGGTTTTGTTGCTGTTGGGATCTTATTGGGAAGAACTCTGTCATTTCACAGGTTCATCTACCTTCCCATAATCTTTGTGATTTTCTTATAGCTCATTTTCTCCATCCGTTTGTTTTTGGAGATTTTCCAGAGTATTTGGATTCACGTGTGGACTCTGTGATTGGGCACCTTCCCTTTTTCCTCTGTCATCCATTGGAGGAACAATTCAGTCAGGCAAGTGGCCTGTACCTCATATGTTCATCTCCCACTATTTTCAATGGGTAGCTGTTTCTTCCTCCTCAGAATACTGTCTTCCAATTGTTGCCATCCTTCAAACTTTGGTGTGGTCGTGACTGGGTAAGTTATCTTTTCTATATATATATTTTTCCTTCCAGGGACATGTCTTATTTAAGATTTAGAACCATCTCAGTGGTGAGCACTGCCTTTCCAGGTATGCTTCCTATATCTCAAATCTGCACTGTACAGTCACGATGTATACCCATGGCCTATAACACACTCTTCAGATGGGGTGTTCCACAAGTGATATATTTGCTTTATTAATATGCTCATTTTGGACCATACTAAACCATGGACTTATATGGGTAAAGCAGAAGGGGATAGCTGCCCATCCCTGTTGTCCATTTGATTGAATATATCAGGGGCAGTCTGCTTTTCAAAATAGGTTCTTTGTGGTAACCCGCTGTACTGTCTGTGGTGTTTGCATTTCACCAGACTTTCAACCATATTTTATCCCCTTTGATCTTCTAGTGGAGTATGGGAGTCCTTGCCACTTTCCAGTTGAGCTGCTGGACTATGAAGGAGTCCTCTTGAATGTGTTTGCTTCCATTTGATAAAGAGTTGGGTGGTGGTATTCTGCTGTTGTAGATGGCACATGATCCTCCAATCACATGCTCCACCTCCGTGCAGTAGGTTGATGTTGTGCCCAGCTTCTGTGCAGTTCTATCTGGAAGGTAAGGTTGCTTATATTTTGTAGATGCAATCCACATCCATGCAATGGGACCCGGAGACGGTGTTTAGCTCCAACTTCTGTGTAGTCCTATCCAGTGGATGATGTTGTGCATATCTCCAAATAAATATGCTCCACCTCCATGTGTTGATGTTGCAGCTTCTGTGCAGTTCTATCTGGAGGGTGAGGTTGCTTATATTTTATAGATATAATCCACTTCCATGAGGTGGGACCTAGAGGTTACTGTTTTGCCACATTTGCTAGTTATTGGACATTCATATTTTATAAATATTATACTTCAGAGTAATATATACTAATTTCTTCAATAAATGGTGTTCCAAATTATGACAAGACTGGTTCTTGATTTTTACATATAAAGCTAGCTTTAATTAGGCCTAAGGGCTTGAAACTACTCATGAATGTAGCAATTTTTTGTGGAAATGTGAATGATATAGGTAATATTCTGGAGCTGAATTTCACACTCTTTGACCTTTTTTTATACTTGTATATAAATGTACATCTTTTTTTAAATTCTATTTCAGCTGCTACTTCAGTGATAAATGCTTTTCCTGCCCTAACAATACTTACATCAGAAGTTCACCCAAGTGCTCCCAACCACTTTGGACAGAAATATTTTGGAACTGATTAAAAATTATCAGATTCACCTACTTCTGTGAAATCTTGCAATGTGTGAAAAGTTTTGTCCTGTCTTGTACCAGATGATTTGTGTTTTACAAGTTCTTCTAGCTTAAGACATTAAGTCCATTTCATTCTTACATAGTGTGAATGGCTGTTGCATATTTAGTTTGTTAGCGTAGATGAATTTGGTATAATTTATTTATTAAAACCTTATTTCATATCACATAGATATTTGTTTAAAACTTGTTTCTTATAAAAAAAATTCTAAAATGTGTTCATATGTTTTTGTTTTTCATTGGAAAATTAAAATTGTGATAAGGTATAATAAGAAAATACATTATTTTAAAAGAGAATTAAATTTGGAGTGTTAGTAAACTTATTTACTTGCATAATTAGAAATTGCTTAGTTACATACATTAATATATAAATCACTTAGTGTAATTTGTTGTTTAAAAAATGTTTATTTTTCATAGGTACCATTTGAAAGATATTTACTTCCCTTAGAATAGCCCCCCAGTGGCAGAGTGGTATGTCTGCGGACTTACAATGCTAGAAACTGGGTTTTTATAACTGTGGTGGGCAGAGCACAGATAGCCCATTGTGCAGCTTTGTGTTTACCTTCAAACAACTAAGTAAATCTCTTAGAATATGCATTTAGTAATAATTTTGTATTTAATATAAATCACTGATCTGTTGTGTTGTTAAAACTGTCATGTTTTCTTATGGTGTTTGTAGCATATGGTAAAATAATTGATTAAAAAGAATTTTAGTATATTTTAAAATGCTGTGTTCACTTGTGTTTCTGTACATTATCATAGTTCTGTATTATTACCTTTGTTCTTCACCACACTGTTAATGAAAATAAGTTGATTTTTGTGATTCAAACATAGTTAATCATGTATGCAAATTTTAAAGCTACTCTGTGCAGGTACTTTTCCAATATTTGTTTGAAAGAAACTGGTAGATCAAATCCAATTTTATCCATAAATTATAAGAAAATATCAGTTTGTACTCTAAATTTGGAGTAAAAATTCAATATTTATCTGCATTCTGCTATTATGGCTTCACCAGGGTATGAAAGATGTATGCAAATGTTGTGGATCAGCTAATAAGGTTATAATAACAAAATAATGGTAAATTATTTTTATAGTTGAAATAAAACATTATATAGTTTTTGTAGATAAAAGTTTCCTCAAGTACTGCAGTAATTTGGTAGCTCATGAATACTGTAGGGCTAAGAAATTTGTGTAATTTGATAATTAGTTAATTGTCGGGCTCATTAATAGATTACATGCAACTAATTGAATATTTTCACCAGACTCAGATAGTTGGAATAACAGAAAATAGCAAAAATCAGAAATGCTAATTTCAGTTACTTGATTATTACTCTGACAATAATATATATGTATCCAGACCATCGGGCTTGGTCAAAATGTGCATGTCGATCCAATAGACCAATCCCATTGATATAGAGTTAATTGATTCATTTATGTGACACTAACTGATGTAATCAATGCTCATAGGTAATCACCAGTTCTAATGAACAATGCTAAATATACTCCATATGCATTACATGATCTCAACAAAGGAAGAACTTTTTTGCTCTTTTTAGAAATCATAGGGATATTTCTGAGTAGTGTGAGCATGAATCTTAATGTGTTACATAAGTTGTTGCATGTAAAATCTGATCTTTCTCTTTTTTTATAATAATTTTTACCTTGCTTAATACTATTTTTGAGTCTAAAGTTGTATCTCTTTGTTTTCCAACTACAGTAGACTTTCACCTGCCTGTTAATAGCTATCTTTTAGGAAAGTGATAAACTTCAGCCTCATTCTTTTCTAATTGAATTTTCTTATTTGTATTTCAATTTCTGAGTAAAAACACTAATTTGTTTTGTAATAATTTCTTTGGTTGATGATGTTTCTTTTGAAATAAAATGAGCAAATTTTCCAGTAGTTCTCTTGAGCTCTGGACAACCTTTACAATTTTTGTTATAACCGCTAACTTTTGAACTTTACTCTCCATTTCTATAAATGTTCTGTTTCTATATTGGAATTTTCTTTAACTAATGAACAAAGAGAAGTGGGGTTTTTGTTCACCAAAAATTGACTTTAGTAGACCTATCCATTTCATTCTGGCTCTACAGACTCGTCATAACTCACTTTAGTATATGTATTTTTTTAGGTCTGTACTGTACTTGGGTTATGGACACCTTTTACTATATTATTCATAAGCCTTACTATACTACACTTCTGAAAACAGAAGAAGTGGTATTAAAATTTAACTTCTTGAAAGATTACTGATTGTTATCAGCACTTGACCTTTTTTGTTCGACCTTCACTCCATCTAGTTTTTGGGTTGGCAGCTCAGGTAGTCATTCTCCAATAATTTCTGTCCTCCAGTGCTACATCCATCTCTTTCATGTCTTATCTATCCTATCTTTGCATCTCAGTTTTTAATTTCCTCTACTACCTTTAACTGGCATTTTAATTATTCTTACCACCAAGTTATTTTCTACCTTTCTACGTTTACATACCACCATTGTCTAGCTTTGTATGCATATTCTGTTATCTTACATACCCCAGCCAACTTTCTAGCATTATCGTTCATAATCCTATCCTTTGGAGATATTCCCATCATCCAATGTGTAACATTCTCATTTTCTTCCTTTCTAGCAAACTTCTTTTCACTATTCATGGCTCTGCTCCACACAACAGATTTGGCTTAACTACTGTCTTGTAAATCTTACTTTTCAATTTCATTGGCATTTTCTTGTCATAAACAATTGCCAAAACCCACTTCCACTTCTTACTCTCTCTTTTAGCTCTAGGTTGCATCTCCATTATTGTTTATATGTGAGCCAATTCATATAAACTTACCTGTTTGGATTATCTCCCTATTCAGGATATTGTTTATTCTAATTGCCCTCTTCCTTTACAACTTGCCATTACCTCCATCTTCCCTGTATTTACCTTAAGTCCACCTCTCTCCAGCTGTTCCTGCCACAGTCTATTTTACTTATAATTCCTCCTCACTTCTAACTCCAATCAATAAATCAATCACAAATAATAATTTCCACAACTCTCATCTTCAGATATCTTCTGGAAGGACATCCATTACAATTATGAAGAGGGAACGGGTTGAGGACTGACCCTTGATGCAATCTTACCTTTACTTCCAATTCATCAGTATTTCTTTGTTTTGTTCTTACCCACATCTTTAATTAAACCTTCATATATCCCTTGGATCATTCTGACAGTTTTTTTATGTTATCACACTTGATTCTGCTTCCTTAATTTAGCTTTATTTATTTAATTCTAAAAACATCATAGGTGAAGAGGTTAATTGTAACACCCATTTTTTTTGTCTGTAATTAAATATATTGCATTGATATCTTCCTATTACAAGAATATATTTATGGTAACTTTCTTTTTCCTTTATTTAATTAGAAGTTTAGGTTAATATAACAATTGTGGAGTGTTGCATTTGATGTTTGTGTATCTTTGTTGTAGACTGGAAAAGCTTTGCATCTTTTTCTAGTAAGGCATCACATTTTTCTTATTTATTTTATAAAAATTTGGTCATTATTAATACTTTGTACAAAAGGAAGTGAAATTATATATTTTATGTTTTTAAATTTAGTTTGTGCCTTTCCATGTTTTTTAAATAATTATTTTTAGCAATAAAACAAATTATATTCCTGGTGTTTATTTCAAGTTCATAATTGCATGTAGCAATATTCAAACAAATGATGAAATTAAGTTGTAGTAATTATATAACAGCTTCGGTCTTTAAGTAAGATCATTTCGATAAAAAAACCAAAACACTGTATTTACATTAACCGTTATTAAGGGGAAGGAACAATTCTGTAAAGCTGTATAGATATTGTTGTAGCTACTAAAAATATTGCAGTGTTGCTTCTAGGAGTTATCTCAAGTGGGCCAAATCCACCATTGACATTTAGAAAGTGGGACATCTACGTAATGAAGTAAATATCAACTTCGCGAGTCATAAAAGCATAACATGATCAAGTTACTTTTATTTGAACTTGAAGAAACAGTAAATTAAATCATTGCAATTTGTTTCATTTGTGTATGTACTGAAAATATCTACCCATTCACAGATAAAACTTACATTGCAGTCATCTTCTTTGCGCCGTTTGGCTTTATTTCTATTCTTTACATTGTTTTAAAGGAAAAATGTAGTAATTTCTTTGAAAATTAACTGCTTATTTAACGTCTTCGTACCTTTCGTTTTTTCCGCCATTTTCAATCATCGATATCCCATAATACCAAGGGAATCTCCCTCAAAACCAAATGACGTCATAACGCATCCAATGACATTCCGAATGAGCTAATTACTGTTTGGAATTTCCGGTTACGATAGCGATCTATCGTTATGAAGTCATTCGTAATACCTTTCGAAGGGCGGGCGCGCACGAAAAATTAAAATTCGTACTTGTATATATATATATATATATATACAC